GTAATCTCTCTTCTCGTTCTTCTTGTTTAGTTTCTTTTTCCTCTAACAACTGTTGTAATTTCTCTTCTCGTTCTTCTTGTTTATTTTCTCGTTCTTCTTGTTTCTTTTCTTTTTCCTCTAACAACTGTTGTAATTTCTCTTCTCGTTCTTCTTGGTTCTTTTGCTGTTCTTGTATTGCTGCCATCAAGTCTGCTATGCTGTAGTTTGAGTTGCCGCTTATCGTTTCCATTTTTTTTGTCCCACTCTCTGACACCAATTTGTTACGTCTCCAGTCGTTAATTGATTTTCCGTAAATTCGTTCCGACGAAACTTTAGCGACACAAGTCCTTTCTTAATAAAACTGGTTTATTCTTTCTGAATATAACTTTACCGATACACTTATTTTCAACAGTCCCTCTATAACAAACGCTATAACTACGAACGTTAACTTCAACAATACTTTCTGACTGCAGTTCAATTACTCACTACCTACACATATTGTCCCGTCACGTTGTGACCATCTTATATATGCCAGACTACCCCCAGTCTAGTAATCTCCCGATAATTCCCGAAGGTTCGAGAGAAGGAGTGGCGTGATACTAGTCACTTGACCTCGCTGACGCAACAGTAGGAACGAAATCTACGGAAAATTAACTAACGAACGGAGACGTAACAATATTGATCAAAAACAGTGTTGAATCCAAACCTTTCCACCAGGTGAGGGAAATACTGTACTTCAGGGAGAAATTTTTTCACGGGGAGAAATCCCCCCAAGCACACCCCTGAATTCAACACTGATCAAAAAAGCAAAGTTAAACAATCCACACTTTGTTAATTTGTTTCACGCAATTCTTGACGTTGAGACCCATAATCCATCTTATCATCCCCAGTCTGGTAGGTTAACTGAGTGGGCCATACAAATTATGAAGCACTTATTTTCTATATCTGAAGTTCAAATCAAATTGACTGAGATGATAATTTTCTGTGTGTAATGATAATATATCATTCAATGAAGTACCTGTCTACTGGCTGTTTTCCACCTAGGATATTGTTAAGCCTCCAGTCGTTAATTGATTTTCCGTAACTTCGTTCAGACGAAACTTTAGCGACACAAGTCCTTACTTAATAAAACTGGTTTATTCTTTCTGAATATAATTTTGCGATACACTTATTTTCAACAGTCGCTCTATAACAAACGCTATAACAACGAACGTTAACTTCAACAATACTTTCTGACTGCAGTTCAATTACTCACTACCTATACACACTGTCATGTCACGCCGTGACCATCTTATATATACCAGACCACCCCCAATCTAGCAAATGCTAGAGCACTCCCAAAGGAACAGGATAGTTCTAGAAAACGGGTGGCGTGACACTAGTCACGTGACCTCGCTGACAACAAATATAAACTGTTCCCAGTGCTCATCTACTCAAATGTCATCAAATCAATGTATAGTAGCTGAGATCTACATTAGTTGATGTGTATGAATTTGTGTATCAACGGCATATAAAGAAAGTGGAATACAATAAGGTGATGAAGGAATGCCAGTTCAAGTGACGAAACTTGAATACGTCTTTGGTTTATGTTTTTGGCAGCATATAATTCTCTCAGATTTGGATGAGCTAAGACTCATTTTATGATGTGACAAATCTGTTAGTTAATTTAACACCTTCAATGGGCTATAGCGTGTGAAAATCACACTGAAAAACTGAAATCATGTTCCACTAGTGAGCTACTCAAACATTGATTATGTTACGACAGCGGAAGTCACGTAACGCTTGTAATACGTCATGAGTTTCTAGAAGGATCATGACTTTTCTTAGCAACTCTAGTCTTTTCCAGGCGCCCTCTATTTTAATATATAAGCCCGGCAAATAAAACGGAGATAATAGCAAATTGAAGAGAGATATAGAGACATATAATTGAGTCAAATAAGCGGTAGTGACTGTAAGGAAAGTGCGTGAATAGTTGTGAATTATAGCGTGTGTTTAAGTTAAAGTGACTGTGGAAATTCTGTGTATTGCAAAGTTGTATTGAAAAAGAGTAAACTAGTTTTATTAAAAGAAAGGACTTGTATCGCTAAAGTTCCTCAGGGAGAATTTATCCCGGAAATTAACAAATGACCAGATATGCAACAAATTGGTGTCAGAAGTGGGATAAAAAAAGAAGAAGAAGAAGATAGAAACGAGAAGTGGCAACTCAAACTACAGCTTAGCAGATTTGATGGCAGCAATACAAGAATAGCAAAAGAAACAAGAAGAACGAGAAGATAAACAAGAAAAGAGACAACAGCAGTGGCAAGAAAACTTGCAACAGTGGCATTCGAACAGCAAAATAAACAAGAAAAGAGATTACAGCAGTTGTTGGAGGATAAAGAAAAGAAACAAGAAGAGAGATTACACCAGTTGTTGGAGGAGAAAGAAAATAAACAAGAAGAGAGACTACAGCAGTGGCAACTGGAACAAGAAAGGAAACAGTAAGAAAGTCTCCAACAGTTGCAAGAAAGCCAGCAGCAACTACAGGAAAGTCAACAACAGTGGCAGGAACTACAAATGGAAAACATGAGTAAATTTCAAAGTGAATTAAGTACATTAAAGGACGATTTACTGTCTTTTACACAGGGAGGTTATATTAACCATGGACCTAGTCAATCACAGACAACAGGAAGCC